AATGCTGTTCAGAAAATATTTTTCCCTAAAAGAAGCCGCCGATGGGTTTTATTAATACATATATCATCCTCTGCATTAATGCACTGAGCTTGCCTGCATTTTCAGCTGCCTAGCACATGTCAGAAATGTTCCCTAATGAAAAATTCAAAGGACGGGTCAACTTAATTTCCAGAACACGACTTCGACCTTTTAGCAATTTATTTTAAGTGGTGCTTCCAGTCTACAGAACTTACAGGGGCTAGCTGTTGTTTAGTCTTTTTCCTGGTATGAAAAAAAAAAAAAAAAAAAGATAAGCTTATAGTGAAACTCCAATATGCCCTCATTCACACGACTAACTGTCTGCCCGTACAGATCCGTGCTGCGTGCTCCTGTCAGCGTACGAGTACAGACACCCGCACGTACGTTCAGTTCGGGTGAGTGTGCGGCCGCGTACTCCCATAGAGAACAGGCTGCTGCATACAAATCACACGCAGCACCTGTCCTTCCCAGGAGCGTCCCGATACGGCTGTGCACGCAGCACGGATCTGTACGGGCCGACATGATTCGTGTGAATGAGGGCTATATGTTAGAACAGGTAGGTGCTCAGGTCTAAACCATGATGAATATTCAATTTCTTATCCTTCTGTTATTTTTCAGTATCACATTCAGGGGCAGGAATCAGGAAGACGATTTTTTTGATACGATCTGTAAATTGCTATGTCACTGGCTCATTGCAAGTGTCTAAGCGTCAAGGTCTAAGCGTCAAATATTTACATATTCTTAACATGCAGTAAATAGAAGTTGAATAAAGCCATCACTGAACTCTGTAGTTACAGTCTCTATCGAGCAGCTCATCCTCAAAGTTCACAATAGAAGCAGTAAAACTCCTCCCATTAAAAGAATATGTGGCGCAACACTTAATTATCAATTAAATCTTAATCTTCAATTAAAATATTTCCTTAGTCCCCCTGCAAATTCCTAAGTGAAGTCTTCCTAATGTAGCTTCCTGTTATAGGGTGGCAATGGTGTTGTACTGTTCACCAGAAAAGAGTTGCCACTAGACATGTGCACAGCATAAAAATTAGTTTCGGACGAAATGAATAAAAACGGAAAAACCTTTTCATTAGTTTTATTTGATGAAACAAATAATTATGCTGTTTCGGAGGCAACGAACCTATGGATTCGAAAGTGCACATTTAAAAAACAGAGCGCCTAGCGGCCATATTTGCCATGGGCACGTTCTGTGCATGCGTGCTGCCATCTTGGAGGCGGGCGCATAACGTCACCCAACGCCTGCGTCAGGAGATGTCATATGCACATATGGGAACCACCATCTTGGACGCAGCAAGATAATGGTGTACATTGGAAAAAAATTAATATATGCCCAAATGCTTTTGGGATATTCGGGCATATAATCATTCGTTATTTCGGATTTGGACGAATTGCCAAATCAACATAATTTTATGATTCAGCAAGTTCGTCCAATTCTGAATGCACATGTCTAGTTGCCACTTTCATGTAGACCCTGCTTGCCAGCGGCATGAAAAAATGTTGCAGGGGGCATGGCTACCAACATTGTCACTGCTGATTCAGAAGTCTCTGGCTTGTCATTCAGCATCTGACAACACCTAATCCTACCCACTGCTTTCTGGATTGACAACACTGACTGCTAAAATCCTCCCACTGTGAGCTACAGTGTCTAGGAGGGGCATAATGTGCATTACATAGTAACTGGATTTGGTACTGCCGTTTGGCACATTTAGCTATATTCTCTGCCCTGTTTTATTTCAATAAATTCACAAGAGCGTAAATTAAATTTATATGCTCAAAATCTGCACTCCTTTCTACGCAGAATAATAAACTGAACCAGCATAACAACTGGATCTGTTCTAACTGCAAACAGGTTACGCTGAAACTCAGTGCTCATCCAGCCCTAATTTAGGTTACAAATTACAGCTTTTCCTGAATTGACTCCTTTTTGTTGCTCAAGCCCTGAGGAAGGGGAAGTCTAATTCCCCCTGAGCCACATTGGCTGTATCTGACATTTCCATTCAAATAAAGAACTTAAATGAACCTTAAAGCGAGATGATCCTTTTTTAAGAGGCGCATCCAGAATTTTCTTGTGTTTTGGAAATTCACACATATTAAGAAGCAAATTACAGTGTCAAATGATTATATGCTAAAGTGAAATTCTAATAACTGTTTTTGTACCTGTTTAATTAAACACATAAACATGTGAAGTATGCTAAGGTGACTTAAATGCAGACACCCAACCCTTTCTCAGTCTTTTTTCCTAAAATAACTCCAACAGAAATGTGTTCTTCCATTATTCAAGATAGCTGAACTGGATAATTTAATGGTGAATAATTCAAATGCCAGTAAGGCATGGGCCACTTTTAACCCAATTATTAGCAAAGATGAAATTCCAATGCCATCTGCTTAGAGTAAATGAATACTCTCTTCGGATGTGTGGAGTATCGGTATAGAATTGTTATTGAAAACCGAGAATAAGATATTTTATCTTTCTATAGTCAGGATCAACCTTATCTTAGCTCCACATATAGGTCTGATTTACAAAAACTGGAGATAAGGAAATGTAGAAAGGTTACCTACAGTAACCAACCAATTTCCTAATTGTATAAATAATGACTGGAAGAATATGATTGACTGGAATGAGCAATTTTCCTTCCTATGGTTTTCTTTTATAAAAGACTGCAGCCTTCAAGAAAAAGAAAATTACTGATTTTAGTATTTTAACATTTCAAGTGCTTTAAACATATTTTTATTTGCAGCATTGGAATGACACTACAATTACATCTTTCAAATGCAAACAAAATCCAGTTATATAGATTCAACTTCAGAAGAGAAAACAATGATTCATGTAATGGTATTTCTAGTTTATTTATTGTTTGCTTTTTACAGCTAAAATGATCAAAAGTATTTCAAGTATTTTGGCTTACATGCCAAAAAAATGTGGACGATACTTAAAGCTGAAGTTTATTTATATAGGAGGATGTTTCCTAGCTTTGCTATGGGGCTTCCTCTAAGATTCCCATGGCTCCTTTGTCCCTAGTTAATTAGTAAATGTTGCTTCCGAACTGTACTTGAGGCAGCATTTCCTGTATAGGAGACTGGTCACCACAATCGGCTATCTGTATGTTGGGTGACCAGTCTCCTCAACACCACCTCTAGCTCTCTAAGATGTGGCTTTATCATGTAGGGTGACCTACAGACCCCTCCATCCTACCCAACTTTAAAGTGTATTTCCACTTTTGTAGTCAAATTGGTATAATACATATTTTATATTTATAAATTCCCATCCTAAAATGCTTCTTGCAGTTTAAACTGCTTTTACTTGGGTTGGTGTTTTAAAAGTTAACACTTCTACTTGCTTTTCTTTCTATACAATGTTAGGAGAGGCTGTGAGAGGTGAGGGGTCTGAGGTGGTTTGTCCATTGTATATTAAGTGAATGAGAGAAACACAATCCTCAAATTTCAGTCCACAGCCTTTCCATTAGGACAGATTGTTGTGAAGTTGCAGAGAAAAAGCTGGAATTGGCTATCTTGCCTGCTGTAACAAAACATCTAAAAGGTAGGAAATATTTTTTTTAATTATTTTTCTTTGTGCTATCTGAAAAGGATCACATAACACATGTATAGAGGGGTTTTCTAAAATTTGACTGCAAACGTGTAAATACACTTTAAGGTAAAAGTTGTGACACCAGGGGATAAAGTCTCCTGGACTTCATGGCAGAATTTCTAAGGAAATTAAAGGGAAAAAAGAGGGAGGTATTCTACAGAGGGGTGGGGGTAGGTTTACACCAAAAAATACCTGGCAGCTATAGCTGCCGGAAGTTTGTTTACTTTTTTAGTCCCAGCTGCTATTTTTTTGTAGAAGTGATTTGGGGGTTAAAAACTACCCGATCACTTCTACTGTAAGGTGCTGGCTTCCCCTTCCCCGCCATGTGTCCAGGGCTTACCTGTCCCTCCTGGTGTGTAGGGCCTCCATGGTGGGTGTCCAGAGCGAGAGTTCGGGAGATCAGCGAATATATGTTCGCTGATCATCCCTGGGTAATATGAACCCAGAAACACTTAACCTTGAGCTGTCAAACCACGGCTGCTCTTGCTGGAAAAAAAGTTGATCGAACACAGACTTCGATAGAGTGCAGAAGTGACATTAGAGACTTAATAGATGCCTGAAAAAAAAGGTACTTGCACTATAATATTACATAGGGGGTTTGTCAGCCCTCTTCTGATAGCAATAAAATGAAGTTAAACAAAAGAAAATAATTTTCAAAAAATCTAAGTTTAATAAGATAATTTAAAAGCCTACTGCCCCCATGTAAATGCATAAATGGAAGCAAACATGCATGTTGGATGCACACACAATCGAGAAACTACAATTGTGCCAAACATGTTTGGTATTGCCCACATGCAATAATTCTAGGGCCATGTTGGATGCACACACAATCGAGAAACTACAATTGTGCCAAACATGTTTGGTATTGCCCACATGCAATAATTCTAGGGCTCTCACCAGCAGAGAAATGGACACTAATTCAGATGCAACAAAAGCACTTCCAGAGATGCGCAAGAGACATGTGTATACATCAAAAGATTCAAGTCTTTCATCCAGTCTTCTGGTGTTAAATCTAACTAACCACCACAGTTCTTTAACTAGGAGGTTTCATTAGCTTTTCTCTATTATTACCATTGAAGAATAAAACAGTTATGTCAAGTTCAGTCCCTGTAAAACATTCAGTATAGGTGTAACCTTTAGCCCCAGCATTTCCTCTTGCTCTACAAAACCAGAATCCAAAATTCCAGATATCCTGCAAAGCTACTGCTGGAGGCCATGAGTGACACTAAAAACCTCACCTCATGTTGTCCGACTGAGTGTTACTAAACAAACTGCCTGATATAAAATTGAAAATTTGTGCAGCAATAATGGCCACAGTAAGTTGAAGGTATGAATACAATACATCACAGCATGAATTATTTCAACCAGCTCTTCAACCTACATTATTTAGCTTGAGTTTGCTCTTGTCCTGCTTTTGCAAATGCCCAGAGAGGTGATACAGCACGGCTCTGCTCCTCCTGCGGTTGGCATTGAACCCAGGTGGTCTGGTATCGGTGTAGATCTCCAAATCATCTTCATCTGTGACATAAGATCAAAAGAATATGTGATACCATTATCAATATTATTAATAGAGCAGATTAAACTTAAAAATCTGCTCTGCCAAGATTCTACCAGTTCATTTCTTCAATTTAAACTACCAAGTTCACATTTTTCTAAAATTAAAGTTAAACCAACATGGGCTTCCCAAATGATTCTATCTTTGTACTTCAGGTATATGAGCTAGTATTCACTAGCTAGATGACTACAAGCAAGCAGCCCCCTGATATACTGCAGTGTATTTCATGCAGTAAAGCACCAAACCAGTTCTAATAGGCACAGAGTTCGCTACAGGATGTGGAACAGAAATGTGGGGCAATTTATATTCGATTTATCTCCCTCACATTAAGGCCCCATTCACACTGAGCGATTTATCGAGCGATTATGCAGCGATGTCGCTCATATTTCCACGCGATATCGCTCTATGTAGCTTCTCCAATCCATTTCAATGGAGCTGTTCACATCTTGTCGCTCAATATCGCTCTATATCGCTTGTCGCTCCTACATGACCCTTTTTTCGAGCGATTTCGAGCGATATTGCTCTTGATTGCATACAGCCCAATAGGAAAAAGTCGCGCGATGTTGCGCGACAAGTCGCTCAATATCGCTCGTCGCGCAATATCGCTCAAAATCGCGCGATTTTCATGTCGCTCAGTGTGAATGGGGCCTAAGACAGGTAATTTGTGCTCCCTGACCTCAGCAAACTGGCAAAGGGGCTTACTGGAATCCATACAAAAGTCTTCTGGTTTTATCTGTTGATTATGTTGCATCTGTTTTCTCTGTAGCTGGAATGCATTTTACTGAATGAGTCATTTATTCAGGTACCTTGCACATACTCATCACCAATTCCCATACTACCCCCTAGATAACAAAAAGTGAAACACCTTGTTCTGCAAGGACTAGGCGTTCTGGTCTTCTGGTTTTATTTGTCCATTTTGTTGCATCCATTGTCAAGACTGGGCTCATGTTTAGAACTGGACTTTTTTTACATTGTTTTTTGGATGTTAATGACACAAACTATCAGCACGGAGAAGGAGGACCAACAACTTTGTGGTACGTGTATATTATCCTGTATCCCTGTGGTAACTGGTAGAACAATTATGAAAGCATGCTTTGTGCAAAAACAAGGACGTCTCAAACCATGAGCCTCCATGTTCTTTTCATTACAGCAGACAGTGGCCATGTAAATAAAACACTATTGATATATGTATATTTTTTGTCAGTTAAGTTGATTTTTACTGAAGCTTGCCATTCAGGACAAGGTCCAAATATAAAAGTTTGCAGCTACAATAAAATATAGTTGTTGGGACAAAGGAAATCCGAGAAATTTCCAGAATAAAGGATAAACACAGTAAAACTCATAGCAGACTTGCACAGCATGACATATTGCTTGTCCCTTATAAAAGTAATTCACAGGTTTGACACAATGGGGGTGATTTACTAACCTAAACACACGCACCCACTAGGTGCATGTGAGTTTTACGCAGCAAAACGTATTTATCAACCAAAAAGTCTCTAAAAGCATATTTCCACTAATGCCATATATGGAAAAATCATGCACATGATGCATATATAATGCTGCTTCACAGTTTAGACAAAAATGGTTAGCTCATGCATTTACATTCCTGCATTCATCAACGCAAGCAACACAACATAGAGCTAATTTACACAACATCACCTTGCAATTCATGCAGGGCTTTGCACAACACACCTGCTGGGTGTGTACACACTACAAAGGTGTCTAGATTCTACCAATAGATCATGCTGGGAGGGAACACACTACAGAGGTGTATACTTGTTCGTGGCGTGTTTATAAGGTTAGTAAATCAACCCCAATGTGTCATGTGGCAGACGTTCATCTGGTGTTCTTGTATCATCTGGCACCATTAACACACAAACTGCATTAAAGTGAACCTGCTTTGTCCATACAAGGAAATGCCAAACGTTCACTT